CTTCCAATGGCTCAAAAATTTATCTTCCTGTCTGTCCTTTGGCTTGTTGTAGCCGTTTTTGGTAAGTAGCCTGATTTTATTGAAACAACTTTAAAATCCTTATTTTTGTCAGTTTGATAGTGTATAATAGAGTGAAAGGGTAGAGCACATGTTAACAAATTAAAACATCAGATCAACTTTAGAGGTGAAATATTCTTTTTAATATAGTTGTTTTTTAAATTTATTTAATTAAGCTTTCAGTTTAATTCAGTCTAAACTGTTATGCACACAGGTGGAGCTTTAATAGGCTTTACGTAAATAGTAGATAAATGGATTATTTTATTTAAGACTTTGCAGTCATTCCTGATCCAAGATTACGGCTGTAACAGCAAAATGGAGAGCTACCCATGACGTAAGACTGCCTGGATAAATGTCCTCCAATCGAAATATCTCATATTAGTTTGAATATGAGAATATCATTTTCATGATTAACAGTTACTAGTTCCTTTCCCCTTTTGTTTTGCTTCCATACAAATTTTATACACTTGTCCAGTACTCATATGTTTTTAATAATGGTCTAACTTGCACATCTTCCTTTGCAACCATTGTGTATCTGGGCTGGTTTAGCACATACATAAGTAAATTTGACCAGTGTGTTCATGTCAACAGTCTGACATTAATTACCATTTTATTATTTTATGACCCTGTTGTTATACCACATCCTTCTGGCAAGGCCACGGTCAAGGAAGTCTCTTTGTTCACTTCAGATGCTGCAAACTGTTTAATGCTTTACATGTCTGAATCCTAAATGATGGTTGAGTGAACTTTATGTTTTCCATGTAGAGTCTGTGTCACTGCTGGTGCTCTCTTACTGAGACTGAGAAATGACCCTACTTAGCTCTTTAATGATGTCTTGCATCATTAAACATAGACTATATGATCCTGCTTTAATAACTTCGATATAATTTTTTTTCTCAGGCTTGTTTCCTGGGTATCAAATTTCAAAGTTGTGAACAAAGGTTATCATATACTAACTACTGCATTTTAACACAACTCTTAGACTCTTCAACAAGAGCAGAAGATCCTGAAATTTCAGGTTCAGGAGACGATGCAACTACTGCAACACCAGACGATGCAACTACTGCAACACCAACGACTTTATTTAAAGGTAATTTGATACCTCTGGATCAAATGTTCACATGTTATATTGCTCATACAGTGATACAAGTGTGTGTGTGTGTGTGTGTGTGTGTGTGTACTCGCACCTGTTTTGTTTCTCACTTTAAAGATCCCTGCAACTCAAATCCCTGTGGCACTGGAAGCACCTGTGAGGTCCGTTATGACGACACATATGTATGCTTGTGCCTCGCTGGTGATTCCTACAACA